AATTTAATTTAGTTTATAATTGATGATAATTTAGTTCCCAGTTTATCACATATAAAACACAACAACACTCTGGTACTAAGGTAAATGTGAATCGAGATAGTCTTCTTTGTATTTACAATTTATTAAAACATGTCACTGTGTTTGGAACTGAGGCATTGTGTAGGCCATCATGGTTCCTGGCTGTTGCATAGCTGCTCCTTGAGCAGCTACTGCCATTTGTTGTGCAGACGCAGGTACAGGGGCTGGAACTCCTTGCCATGTAGCAGTGGGCATTTGCATTCCCATTCGTCCAACATAGCCTTGTTGGTAACCAAACTGTCCATAGTAATTCGGTTGCATTCCTTGTAAGTATTGACCTTGCATTTGAGCTGAAGCTGCATATGCCTGGGGATACCAATAACTCATTTGTTGACCGTACACATAGGGGTACTGAGCAGCAGCTGCACTCTGATTTGCATTGTTTGCATTCATATTTGCCGGACTTACCGAATTAGGATCGCCAGATTCTTTACCCCAGAAACATTTAACAATCTGGCCATTGATCTCCTTATTGTGGACACCTTCGATCGCGTGAGTCGCTGCTTCTTTAGTTGAAAACTTTATGAACGCATAGCCTTTGTCTTTGAAGCATCTGATATCTTGAATGGTTCCATAGGGTGAGAATATCTTCTGAATTAACTCATCTGTGATACCATTTACAAATCCACCACAATAAACTGTGCAATTGGTAGGACTTGACTGATTGTACACTTCATCGAATGTTGGCTGTTTATTAGTACTATTTTGTCTAACTCGATCATTTCGAGGTGGTGGAGGTTTTCTGGTAGACCAGTTGGTACGAATGCTTCGGCTTCCCAACCACTGACCATTCATAGCAGCAATAGCATTTTCAGCCTCTGCTTTCTTAACAAAGGAGACAAAAGCATAACCTTTAGACTTGAGTGTTTGGGGATCACGTACAATTCTACAGTTAGAGATTTCGCCAAATGGAGCAAATGCTTCTTTCAACGTTTGAGTTTCAATTTCGGGGCTAAGATCGCCAACAAATATGTGGTAATGGTTACTTGTGTCTTGTTTAGGATGATTACCAGGTGACGTTGCCCAGTTAACCTTCATTTCTTTGTCAAGAAACACTCGTTTGTTCATTGCAGCCAGAGCAGTTGCTGCTCCTTGATGATTAGTAAATTCAAGAAAAGCGTATGGATCATTTCCCGGTTCTCTAATTACCTTACATCCTTTGACTTGACCAATTTGAGAAAATAACGCACATAGAAGGTCTTCCGACACCGAGGCATCTAGGTTCCCGACGTACAATGTTCTTGGGTTGCTCTCTTCACTCATCCTTATTTCTCGTTGGTTTATTCGTCCAAAATTCAGAAGAATTAAAAATTAGCAATAATATGTCACAGAAATAGCAATATGAAAACACTACTTGCACATAAACTATTAATGTTTGATAAAAGTCGACATACACAACTTTTTGGATTAAGACATCAGTCCAGAACCGAACCGAACCAACCAACGAGCCAACAACGGTGACAAACTGATCAACTGATCTGAAAAAATAAATTATTTGGCAGTAAGATATGAGATACTATAACAAATTCAAGTTTACCATTACAGAAAGAATTTCACAAGCTCAATAACTACAAAACAAGGCTAACGATGTGAATATTCTTTCACACTTTTAACATATGATATTACATATATATATATATTATATTATTGTATCTATCTAAATTAGATAGGATACTGTTTAGCGTTTTCTTTTTAGTATATCAATTTATCCAGGCTGTCTTGCTTTTTTCCACTGTAATATTTACGCCAACCCAAATTCAAATAGTAAGTATTTAATTTCAACCATGTCAGTAAATGTTTGTACCAAACTGTTAAAAAATTAGCAAACTTATTTACTGTTTACAATTAATATACAGGGTTAGGCTAAAGTCTGGAACCCCCCAGTTAACTTTTTAACGCGTTGCAGTAGGAAAACCAAACTCGGCACACATTTACAACATAAGAAATTGCACTTTTCCATCAAAGTTACAATTTTGTCCCAGCCCCCAAAATGGGGTATTTTGGGGGCAGCCGGGCAGCCCCAAATTTTCAAAAGTAAACACCTATCATGTGACCCCTCATTTTAAAGGTTTTATCAAGATAAATTGAATGGTGCAAACCAGAGGTCAATATCGCACCCCTAAGCAACATGGCAGCCATTTTAATTATTTAAGATGAGCAAGCAAGATAAAGTCTGGACACCCCCAGTTAACTTTAAAAACGTAATATTTTAATACTGACCAAATGGTGAACTCTCTTTTTTTATAAAGGTATGCTGAGTTTAGTTTTCCTGCTATAACCTGTGAAAAAGTTAATAGGGGATATTTCAAAATGACTGCCATTTTGATTAGGGCCGGCGCACACTATCCCGACCACGATCCGACTGGTCGGATACGACCAGTTTTACAATAGGAATAAATGGAACAGCGCTCACTGGTCGACTGGTCGGACCCTGGTCGCACGACCAAAATTTTTCAGTTTGTCGGGCCCGACCCACTGGTTGTTGCAGCCAAAAATCGCTCCTAATGTAATGGGACGACGCGCACTACCCCCGACTTGCCTCCGACCCGACCAGTACACCACTCAACCCCCAGTATTCCTAGATCAATCAAACGTTGAGCACTTGCTTTTTGCGCCGGTCTGTGAAGTGAGTTATTTGGTAAAATATCGCAGGAGTTTGACACGGAAAGTTAAATTTCACCACTGATTTCACCTGCAACTTTTCTATGGAATTCATCAAATCTTTTAACAGACATTTTTGTGTAATTAAAAAACCCGTTCATATTGACGTAGCTCTTCATAAAACGTAGCAAACTGCTCTTTTGTAAACCTGACAGTTAACATTGGATGTACCCAGTATCGTTTCTTCTTCCGCTTAACGTACCTACGATACAAATGCACCACAGCAGCTACTTCTTCAACATCCATCTTGACACTGAAGTTTGTAAAACATTCGTTGCCTTGGTCGGGTCGTGCTCGGGTCGTGCTCTGGTCGCAATGGTCGCATGGTAAACTACAACGGCTGGTCGGGCGTTTGGTCGTGGTCGTGGTCGGGATAGTGCGCGCCTGGCCTTAGGAGTGCGATATTGACCTCTATTTTGCGCCATTTTATTTGTCTTGAGAACCCCTTTAAAATGAGTGGTCATATGATAGGTGTTTACATTAGAAAATTTGGGGCTGCCCACAAAATACCCCATTTTGGGGGCCGGGTACAAGTTCTAACTTTAATGAAAAAGTGAATTTTTTATGTTGTAAACGTGTGCCGAGTTTGGTTTTCCCACTGCCACACGTTATAAAGTTAACTGGGGGTGTCCAGACTTTATCTTGCTTATTCATCTTAAATTAAAATGGCTGCCATTTTGATTAGGGGTGTGATAAGGACCTCTGGTTTGCGCCATTCAATTTCTCTTGATAAACCCCTTAAAATGAGGGGTCACATGATGGGTGTTTACATTTGAAAATTTGGGGCTGCCCCCATAATACCCCAATTTGGGGGCTGGGGCAAAGTTGTAACTTTGATGAAAAAGTGCAATTTCTTATGTTGTAAATGTGTGCCGAGTTTGGTTTTCCTACTAACTGCAATGTGTTAAAAAGTTAACTGGGGGGTTCCAGACTTTTGCCTAACCCTGTACATAGGCCTATGTTCTTCTTCTCACTTTTAATTTCTGACAACAGCTGGAGTTTCATAACAATTTTTGATTCCCATGTTAATCTTATGGAGAAATACAAAACTTTAATGGGCCCCAGGGCCTCACTCTCTAATTATTTCATTTATTTCCCTGAAAAGAAAGTTTCCTGCACAACTCCAAGTTACGCTCTTTCCAATGACACCAAAAACATGTCAATCGGTTCAGTAGTTTTGGAGGAGTAATTGTCACAAAAAACCTGCTTGCATTAAATAAGTAGGCCTATAGATAATGATTTTATTAGAAACACATAAATTCACCTATTAAAAAATTAAAGTTTAAAAAGTGTTCAAATGTGCCCCACTCTTCCCCAAACCAAGATTAGGTTAAGTTTGGTAGGTAGGTATTACGTTATTGACACATCGGTCAAATATGCCAATAGCTTATTACCCTACGTGATTATTAACGCTTGTCACAATTTTCAATTGCGTTATTTTGGGTTGAAATAAGTTTAGGTGTTTGCCGAAAAAGTGGAAGAAAAAAAAATGGGTACAGTTTCTGAGTTTCTTAACTGGGCTATGCTATCCCTAATATCTATTGAAAATATCGATTCGATTAGTGAACCTTCATTCGATTTTTTTATTATCAGCAAGTTTGGCGTTCTTCCCACAAGTGCTAAAGGTAAAAGGCGCTTAAAATAGGCTAAATAATGAGAAAAAAATTTTCTTTTTCAAAATTCTTTAGAAGCCCCTAAATTAAACAAATAAATACCAAAACCCTTACCGAACCGACCCTAGATATACAAATAAGATAGGCTGCAGTAGGCTACTTTCCTATTAATAATCGCAGGCGAATCCGGTAATCGGATGTGGATTAGGCCTTCCCACTGGTGTCATAATTATTTGTACAAAATTTGAACGCTATAAGTGTAACGGTTCTTGAGTATATGATGCGAACACACACACTCACAGACAAGCGGACAACTTTTCTCCGACTCCGCTATACACGATACATAGATTCGTTCACTCATCTAGAAACCCTTGTTTGGATAAAGGTGGTTTCATCAGACTGTCATTAATATGTTAACATTAAAAGCTGCTTACAAATAATGCTATTAATGGGAAATAACTTTGATTTTAGAAAACTTAAAAACAATTTTAAAACCAAAGGAGATTAATAACTTCGGTACTGCACCACATCAAGTGAGTTTTTTTTAGCAAACCAATATAGTGAGTTTTCAAAGCTTTACGTTGTTAACGTTACATGTGTTGGTTAGTCTATGGTTACATGTTACATGTTTTGTGGCCTGTGTATTTATTTATTTATATATTTGCCAACAGATTAACACCTATAATACAGTTTGGTTAGAAGGACAGTTTGAATTAGTCGTAAGTACTTCAGTTCTTTTCTCAAATGTAAACGTTGGTTTTTGGTACTGATACTAGTATGATACTGTACTACTTTTCCTTAGAACCGGTGGTAGCAGTAATAATAATTTTTACATACAAACACATCACTATTTTCACTATTTATTTATAAACACTGCACCTTATTACTTAAATTTAATTGATGTCTTACTGTATAATTTTTAGCATTTTCTGTCTGGACTCCAAAATGTTGTGTGGACTCAATTAATTCTGTACTAGTGTACATGTTGCTCGAATTCGAGCAATTGCAAAGTATTACAGGAGTTATTTCAAAACTAATAACAGTCATATTTAATGAGTTTAAAAGAGTCAACTCTAAGATTACTGGTGTGTAAATTAGACCATGTTTATCTTCGTTATTGATAAACCTAAAGCATTCCGGCCGGTTTTCTCCTTCTCAAAATGCCTCGCTGTACAGGCAACACAGGTCATTGATATAGGGCCAATTGAGAACGAAAAGTCGTTTTGGGGTAGTGTTAGGGCGCATTTGTAACCTAATAGTTGAGATTGACCAGGGTCAGGTGCTGACTGTGATGAGTTATGCCTGTTAAAATGTTTAATCTATGCTATTACGCGACACACTGTTCTGTAGCTGCGGTCGTTATCACGACTACGCATCCTGTCTATGTTTCGATGTCGTCGCGTCGGAGGCATTTAAAAGAAAAAAACAACAAATAAACAAATTATAGCTACACAAAACAACGATAAATGCACAAATTTAAGTTACAATCATGCTAACACGATCCGTCATAGCGACACAAAACAACGATGAATACACAAATTTAAGATACTGTACAACCATCCTAACACGATTCACCTTGGGGGTTATGTTTACACAAACTCAAATAGTAAACAAATGTACTTACTCAGTGCGTTTCATTGAATTGAAAAATAAATAACAGCAATTAAATTATACAGCTGATCAAAATGTAAACAATTATGTTCTTAATAAGGATAACATGGGAACTTTCAAAGCCACTGGGGCAGAGCCACAGCCACCTCTAATACATAAGATACACCTCTAATATATTAGAGGTGGCTAGGCTATGGCAGAGCCCAAGGGACTATAAAAAAAATGTAAGGCCAGTTTGCAAATCTACACGATACGCTCTTTCCAATGAGACGTCAATGAATAAAATCGGTTATGAAATGGCGGAGGAGTTCAACCGACAAACTTTCATGTAGCGTATTAATTATATAGATTTGTGTGTGTATGTCTATTGGTAACGCATTAATGTCCTTATTTTTCGTGGAAAAGACAAAAATATACCCCCCGCCGCAGCAAACCTGCAGACTAAGCGAATTTCCCTTAGCCTGATAGGATTTACACTAAAATGCCTCCTTAAAAATATCATATTTATTCCCTATTTAAATAGAATTAGTTTAACGAGTACTTAGGTTTGCTGCAACAGGGAGGGTAAAAAAGGTGTTTTTTTGTTAATAGTTTAGTAAGAAATGAATGTATTTTCCAAATTTGATCAAAATATGTCCATAAACAAGCAAACTACAACAGTTGACTTATTCTCCATAAGAATAACATGGGGATTTTAAATTTACAGTTTTTTGTAATTTTCTCCGTAACCATTAGGCGCACAATAACGCTTCAATATACAAAATTATTTGTTTTTTACGCTCTACAAAATGGTTTGAAAATAAATTGTAAAATTATGTGTTTTTAGGGTCAAAAATGGGAAAAACCTATTTTTACCCCATAAAACCCCCCATAAACCCCCGTTCCCATAGTCCGATCATGCTGGTTCGTGAACTCGTTCGAATAAATGTAGGTTTACACGTTTGTACCAAATTTCATCAAAATTGGATCATTTTTCCTCGAGTTATCGTGCTAACGGACACATATATATATATAAATATATATATAGCCTATATATATATATGAATTTGAACGGATGGTGTTTTTGGCCTCTAAGGACCTCAAAACGAAAAAATAAATCGGTCCCGGGTCCAGGTCTTACCATCAAGGGCGGTCCTAGACATATATTTTGGGGGGGGTCACCGGGGGGCCTGGGGGGTATGGAATACCCCCCAGCAAAGGAGGGGGGTCCGGACCCGGGGAAAAATTTGGAAATAACGTGCTAAAACGAGTGGTTTTGAAGCTATTTTGAGGGCCTAGTTTAATGTGTTCAAGCTTCCCAGTTTATTTAAAGGTCAAAGAAATGTCTAAAAATAAACCTGTATAATGTCATGTTTTTGCATTATTGAGACTTGGGGTTTTAAGATCAAAGGAATACCGCAACATTACAACACATTCAAGCATTATTGATTTACGAAAACACCCTTTCAACTCATGGTAGATGTAATTTCCTTCCACCATGCTTTCAACTGGTGCCAATGTGCATGCTAAACGGAAAATGTCCAAAATCAGACCAAGATTTCGAACCAGAGAACTTATTTTATCTAAGAAGTGTTTAAGAACTTGAACCCAAAACTACTGCATTATACCTGCCCAGTAAGCAACAGTTAACCTACACAAAGTACACTAACCAACTAACGTTGCTGTCGGCGTCCCGTCACTGGTACTGGTACCTCCTGGAGAATTGGTTCTCAGTGTTCTCATTTTTTCTACGCCAATGCCAGTGGCATTTTACAAGGGGTCAACGTGAGAATAAAGTTTTTGTGCATCGATTTTGTAGTTTTGCTGGGAATTAAATCTGTCCCTTCCACATCTAAGTCTGAGACACTACCATTTTGTTGTTGTTTTATGGCTAGCAACATGCCAATTGGGTTGTGGTATTCTTAAATATGATATCAGGTGCTCTAAATATGAATACTATTTAATATTGAAAGTTTTGAAATTTGCTACGGTAATCATTGAATTACATTACTGTAATTACAAATTCCTAACGCTCAATACAGATAAATTAATCTTCAACTACCTTTCAAGCTTTGACTATTGATACAACTTCTTTTCTTTATCCAATACCCAAACCCAATTCAAGTTTTCAATCATTTAAGTTAAAATGAATGATAACATGCCGAAAAAATTAAATAAGAAGAAGAATGCGGCCGAACGTTGAATGTCTCGGCATCGGGCACTGCCGTTGCTGTATATGGCTGAAAGCGTACCGTCGTCTGCCAATCTTCCCTACTTTTCATAATGTACAAAAAAACAGTCAGACTCGAACAATGAGTTTTAGGTTAGAGTTTGTAATTAGTCCTTACATTCACCACAAGTGTAAAGACAACAATTAATTTCAATTTGGCAGAACGATTTGCAATAAAAATTATTAAAGTTCCCCTGGTATAATAGTTTATATATATAAAAAATATTTTGGGGGGGGTCATGACCCCCCTGACCCCCCCCCCCCCTGGGACCGCCCTTGCTTACCATGAGTACTACGGTAATAGCTTATTCCCTATATGGGAAATTCGCTAATATTCCCTATATGGGAAATTCGCTAAAAGAGCACCATTGTCAATAAAAATTTCAACCCGAATAAAGTGTGCAGTAGCACAGAAAACATACTACTATAACCATAGTAGTATGTTTATAGTAATATGTTTTCTGTGGCAGTAGTGAGGTTGAGGTAGTGTTTTAACTACTTTTAACCAGTGTGGAAAGTAACTTTCAATTACAGGCTTACCTTAGGGCTATGCCTCGTAGATCTATACTGTAAAGCAATTCCTTTCATCGTTTGATATAAAATATGGACTAACACGATCGGGTGACATTTAATTGCGAAGCATTCGTTTTGGCTTTGAAACTGTCAGATATTGTATTTTGAGAAGGTTTATGTATTCCTAAACAGTTAGTTTCGCCATAATATTTGGAATAATGCACACTAAATATGCAAACCAACTCCTGTTCTGAATATAAGGCTTTAACTTACTACAAGATTCCTGTACGTAGAACAGGCAAACAGCTAGTAACATATAAAAAAGTAAACCAAGGTTGACTACAATAATAACTCCTTTGTACTCTTTTGTGTCTTGAATCATTTTTCATTAACCTGGCCACATTAACAATCTGGTAACAATTGGTAACAATCTGGTTAAGTTTGCAAGTTTCTCATAATATTTTTAATGCTGTTTTTTCCTTTTTAGGAAAAAAAATAGAAATATGAACTCCACTCTACCTATCCATGAAGCTCTGAAACCCCTTTCTTGGCTTGTTGGATCATGGATTGGTAGTAACGGAGTCGGACAGTTCCCTACAATAAAGCCCTTCAACTACTGTGAAGAGATAAGTTTTCTCTCATTTGGTCAACCGCTGCTTAACTTTACTTCACAAACCTGGCATGCTGAGAAAAAGAATCCAATGCACTTTGAGGCAGGATTTCTGAGAATCAAACCAGATTCAAACCAAGTTTCATTTGTTGTCTCGCACAACTTTGGTAAGAAAAGCTAGTGTTGAAAACATATTTGAATCATTGAATCATATCTTTATTACTTATTGTGTTTGACAGTTTTGTGTGAAGTCTGTAATGTGAATTTTTTAGCGAATTTTCTATACAGGGAATAAGCTATTACCGTAGGTTTCATGGTAAGACCTAAATCCTGAACTGATTTTTTACCAAAATGCATTTTCCTAATTTGATCAAAATATATTCATAAACAAGCAAGCTATTGCAGTTTACTTATTCTCCATAAGAATAACATGGAGATTTTGAATTCACAATTTTTTGGAATTTTCTCCATAACCATTAGGCACATAATAATCAGGGCTGAACTTACCTAGGGGCGGACGGGGTGAGCACCCCTTCCTTATTAGCTCAAAAATTAATTAGGCGCTTACCGAATAGCCTCTCTCGTTTTGTGTAGTTGAAAATTATGATCGTGTGAAACTAACACAAATACCGGAAATTGCCGCGATTGCAAGAAATCATGACAGCCGTAGCCGCGATCGCGGTAAATCATCACAAATTTTGCCGCGATTGAAATAATATGATCCCAGATAATGGTCGGGATCGCAACAAATTGTCATGAGTATTGAGATAATGGTGGATGGTGGAAACGAATGTTCCTGCTATCAGAAGACATTATCACATGTGTTGCCATGATCAAGAGAAATTTTCACTGATTTGGCCATGATCTAGTAATGATTGCGGAACTGCTGTGATCGTGGGGAATCATCACGGATGTTGACACGATTGTAGGAAATCCCCACATATTTTGGGGCGATTTTTATATAAGAGTACCAGTACAGATATCCAAAATCGCGAGAAATCATCGCGGATGTTACTGCGATCAGGGAAAGCACCACGGTGTTGCCGCAAAAGTGTTATACAGGGAGCGGCAGAAAAATCTGACGGTTTTCAAGCAAGTACTGTCAGGCAGCCGAGTGGAGGAGGGTGGTGGAGAGCGGCTCATTCTCAAGGCTAAGTGACCCCATTTCAGTCGCCATGGGGCAGTGGACCGGTATACAACGCGCGTTTGTCGTTGAGGCGTATTTTAAAACTGCAGGCTCGTTAGCACAGCTTGTCGCACTCGCTCCACGTTCTCCGGCGTCCTCTCTGACCTTAGACGGCCTGTAGGCCTACGTTTTGCAGTTGATCCTGTGGATCTAAAGGTATCCACCCACAATTTGATGGTGTTTCGGGATGGGATAGGGTCCCCACGAGCCACTTTAAAATGCCTACGAAACTTACGTTGCGTATCAACAACAGAATCGCCAGTTTTAAAATACGCCTCAACGACAAACGCGCGTTGTATACCGGTCCACTGCCCCATGGCGACTGAAATGGGGTCACTTGGCCTAGAGAATGAGCCGCTCCCCACCACCCTCCTCCACTCGGCTGCCAGACAGTACTCGCTTGAAAACCGTCAGATATTTCTGCCGCTCCCTGTAGAATGAAGTAAAGTTTTCAAAGGTTTTACATTCTCACTTATTTACCTGAATTAATTAATTATAGTTATTTGTTCATGTGTTTTCATTCAAGTCCCAAATAAAGTATGTATTGCACCAGATTAAAAAATTTCTTTAATCTACTGTATTACAGTAAAAAATAAATTTTAACTAATCCTTGTAGGCGTACTTTGTGCTATTTTATTTTTTATTTTGACTGAATTGTTGAAAAGGATATCTATACTTATTTAATACGCAAGCAGGTTTTTTGTGACAATTACTAATTTACTCCTCCAAAACTACTGAATAGTGATGTGCGTATCGATACAAGGACCGCAAAATATCGATACGTCGGAGTGTATCGATATGCCCGTATCGATACACCTATAGCCAATATCGTATCGTTCATTTATTAATATAAATCTTATTTTTATGGTAAGAAATTTGTTTTCCCATCTTCCTCCCCTCAAAAGTAGTACGGTACCTAGTGAAAATTTGACATTTTACCCTAGCATCTTCAAAAACACTGGTAAAACATGTATTTTCAGCTATGTTTTGCAAATAACCTCAAAACTAAGGCCACCAGTTTCTACGCCCAGCCGTTCTCTCAAATTAGTGTGGACAAAGTTTCCAATTAAATATTTAGTTTCCCCCATGTTAATCTTATGGGAGAAACTCCAACTTTGATGGCCTGTGGGGCAAAGCCCGAGGATTTTTATTACAGGAATTGTTGAAAGGGGGCGTCTACACAAAAAATACTTTATTTTGACACATCGTTTGTAAAAATCCGTCCATTATTATCGGAGGAGTAGTGTTTTGTAGAAATCGCCTTCACGTATTATATATAAGGATGTAAGTGGCATACCCACCATCATTATTAGTACTTTTTGGTTCAATTAATTATCCCTGTGTAAAAACTAGGAAAACAATAACAAAATGTTTTCCAATTTTGAGGGTTTACCGGAATTTGGAGGTTATGTATGTATGTTTGATACAAATAAAAAGACACAGGAAGGAAACGGCTTTTCTGAGGTAAGATTACAAGCACTAACCCTCTTTACAAGCTTGTAAGTAACATGGTATTTGTCTATGCAGCTTGTATATTTGAGATATTTAAATAAAAAAAAATTACAAATAAACAATACGATACAATATTTTATCCGATACAGATAAAAATCGATACATGAGGATACGATACGATACACCATGTTCCGATACGTATCGATACATTGACCCGTATCGCACATCACTACTACTGAACCGATTGACATGTTTTTGGTGTCATTGTTTATGGATATGTATTGATAAAATTTGAAAAATTTATTTATTTCATCCTATACTATTGACGTATGGTCAAAAAACACTTTTTACCTTCCCCATAGCAGCAAACCTAAGCACTCGTTAAATCTAATGTTTAAATTGGGAATAAATATGTCTTATTTATGGAAATATTTGAGTAAAAATGTAATCAGACAAGTTGAAATTTGCTTAGTCTGTAGGTTTGCTGCGGCGGGGGTATTATCTTCATGAAATGTGGTTTTTGCTTCTTCATGTAGTGTATTTAATTTTGTTTTAGCTAAGTGAACTTTTTTGTACCGTATAACTTTTGATTTCTTCTTTGATCCAGATTTGTTTTGCTGTTCTCAATGTTCTTTGAGGTGCTTGAGTTTTGAATCCAAAATTATTAATGAAACAAATCCATTTAAAAATAAATTTTTGATTCCTTTGGACACCATAAAATATCTAGCTAGATTCTAGAAAAAAATGGATATATAAACAAAATGATTAAAAATATGATCAAAAAGAAAATGTAAAAAAAATGATTTAAATTCAAATTAAGAAAACAGTTTGAAACAAAAAAAAGAAAAGAAATTCATGTGCATCCCATACAACAAAAACTTAAACAAAGCAATAAAAAAAAACATTCAAACTGATGGATACTATCTAAAATCATATGTGTTGATTAATCTATACTATTATATAAAAATCTAATGGTGTCTGTCTGTATGTGTATTACTAATAGGTGCAAGAACTACTGAACCAACTGGGCTAAAATTTTACAAAAATATAGTTACCATACCAAGGACCATTATAGGACTGTTCACATTTCGATACTAACCGTAGGCTTTGCCCCTTTGGCTTTAAAAGTTCTGAGGTGAACATTTTAAAAGTAAATATTGATTGGTCTCCATGGCTGTGATGAGAACACTAACAATGTTTGTTTACGTTTGCTTTAGCATTTAAATGTAAACAAGAAGAACTGCTAAACTGCATATTTCACAATTTCAGACAGGTGATACAAAGAAATTAAATATAATATTTTCCATAAGTATGAGGTAGGTTTATTTTAATCTAACCTTTTATCATTATTCTAAAACTAAGTCAATGATTATAGAAAAAAAGATTTTATAGCCGTTGCTGTATCAACTCTGGCTCTGCTTTGGATTTTTTAAAGCTTAAGTGAAAATAATGCTATTGATATGTTTTCATGGAAACAGTATGAAAATTACAATGTATAGATGTTTTGTATGAATTTGGAGGCTACTTTAAATAAATTCTAACTGCTTCACATGTGTTAGATTAAATTAACATAACTTGCACATCACATTGTTTTTTATATGCATATTTAGGTAAATTAAGTTATTGTGTTTTGCTAAACCTATGCTTAGATTAAACTAAAGAATATCATCAATAACTAAATTGTCGTTGATTTTTGTTTTCTAAAATCTGTTGTATATGTGTAACTATATTTAATTATCAAATGGTAATACAAAATACTCTTATTTTATCTTAACATAGCTTTCAGTTCACATTTACATTATTTGATACATTTATTATTTGTGTTTTGCCACACCACTGATTAAATTAAACCAAGGAAAATATCATAAAACTAAGCAGTACACAGTGTTCTTTTGTTTCTAAAATCAATGAAATATCTGTTACTATGTTTTCTTAATGGTAAGTGTGAAAATGTAAAGGCAATGGACGATGGAACTGATTAAAAGAACTGGTTTGTATATTAAGTTGTTTGTTGATATTTTTGTATAGTAGAATCAGAGATGCAATGGAACATAATACTGTATTTGCTATTAAATTTTTTAGTCCTTGATGCTTTGATAATCATATTAGTTTTGTCTGCTGTCTTTAATTCTAAATTATTTGTTTGAAATTGTTTATAGTACCTATAGATATAGTTTCTTTAATATTTCAAAAGACTGTATTGATAAGGCACAGCAATATTTCTAAAGTTTATAACAGCTGACTTAGTTTTGCTAATGATTTATTGTGAGTGAAAAAACTGAAGATGAAAGGATTTGTGATTTAATATAAAGAAGAGTTTAATATAAAGATATTTAAATTTAATAATTAGTATTTTTGCAAATTCAAAATTGAAATTTAAAATGTCAATAATAAATTTAAAAATGTGTAATTAAGGGAGATAAAGGTAAATCTGGTAAATTATGTATGTCAAAGTTTTACTCGAAGATTTGGTCAGTTTTTCTCATATCAGCCTACACAAGATTTAAAATTAATCAAAACCAAAATGGTGGTATCCACTACTTACCAGATTTAAAAGACATGACTTAAACGTTTCTATCAATGCCATAAAAGTTAAATTTTGTTTCTAAAAGCGTTGGTGGATGTGTAACTATTACCTATATGCAAGAGATAAAGATTAAAATGTTTTTATTTTGTGTCCTCTTCCCGTTGCAAAGCACGGGTACAACAGCTAGTGTTGCATAATTTATCAAATCACATTGTTTCAAATACAGATTATATGATTGTAGTCCAAGCAAACTAAGAAAACTGACACAGGGATCATTAAAAAAATTGCAAGAAAACGTTTTATGGTTTTATTTTGTAGTGTTGGGTTTGCAGAATGACATACTAAAAGTTGCCAAAAATTGGTGCACGAGAAAACCACTAAAATAACAAATAAAAATGGCGGCTTTTCCCAACATTGGAAAATTTTAAAAAAAAGACACATGCATATTTTTATGAACATTTTTTGAGAAACTGACTTGGGACCACCGCCGATATTTATTGGTTCGTTAGTGCTTCATTTTCATAAGGAACGCGTTTTTGGCCGCCATCTTGGATCTGCCATATTGGACATAGATATATTTTTTTAAAATTTAATGACAGTGTTGTGACGCATCATTTCAAACTACATTTTTATACTGATTTTAATGCCAAAATCCGTTTTTAAATATCTTTTTTCGTTTAGAAAATATGGTCAAACGAAAACTCTCCCCCATACATTTCTTATGGACGTTTCGTAGTTTGATAATTTTTTAAAAATTATTTTTATTATATCTCCAGTTCTTATTAACGGTTGCAGTTTGTTCTAGCCTTAAAATATTCAGTAATGTAAGGGCTTTCATTTGAGCTCTTGAGCATTAAAATCATACGAGTTAAAGACCAGCTACGAACCTCAGAACAATATCAATTTTAACATTTTAGAAAAATATTTTTCTAAGTATATATTTCTAAGGCAGTCATGACAAACCTGTCTAAGTGCGCGCACGGGGTTCGTAGGCCTACTATTTTTCGTATAATCGTATGTATGTTTGTAAAAACTTTATTTATTTGACGACCTCCGATGAGTGATAAGTGTTTCTTGAAGACCTGATGATGAAGCTATTAATGCTTCGAAACGCGTAGTCTCAACAGACAGCCTTTGGATTACTCTGGCAGATCCAGGTAACATTATACCTTTTATAATCTAATATATTTTTATTAAAGGATTTATAACTCGGGTTGTTAATACGTCACCATTTTGTTCCTGGTCTCAAATTACTCAGTAAATGTTTGGCTTTGATTTTATTAATCATTAAACAAAATCTGATAATTTTAAAATGAGTCATGGATCTTAATTTAATATTAAAATGTATTTATTTTGGAATTCGTCTTTAGTTAAGGACGTATATCCCCAATTCTAAATCCCTCCCAACACTCATTATAGTCTTAAATAATTCCTAATATTATTGACTTTTATTTTAGCTATGGAATACTTATTGGGAGTTATTAGGGTTTGGGATGTATGTCCTTAACTAAAGACAAATTTCTAAAAAGAAATAATTTACTGTTAAATGAAAATTCATGACTCATTAAACATTTTTCAGATTTTATTTAGTGATTAATAAAATTAAAGGAAAACATTTACAGAGTAATTTAAGACCAGAAAGAACTTGGTGACGTATTAAAAACCCGAGTTATAAATCTTTTAATGTAAATATATTTCTAAAAAGTTAAAAAATTGATATTGTTCTGAGGTTCTTAGCCGGTCTTTAACTCGTCTGATTTTAATGCTCAAGAGCTCAAATGGAATCCCTTACATTACTGAATATTTTAAGGCTAAAACGAACTGCAACGGTTAATAAAAACTGGAGATATAAGAAACATAATTAAAAAAAATTATCAAACTACGAAACGTCCATAAGAAATGTATGGGGGAGTTTTCGTTTGAACATATCTTCTAAACTAAAAAAGATATTTAAAAACGGATTTCGGCATTGAAATCAGTGTAAAAATGTAGTTTGAAATTATGTGTTACAACACTATCATTACATTTAGAAAAATATATCTATGTCCAATATGGCAGATCCAAGATGGCGGCCAAAAACGCGTTCCCTATCAAAATGAAGTACTAACGAACCATTAAATATCGGCGGTGGTACCAAGTCAGTTTCTCAAAAAATGTTCATAAAAATATGTATGTAGTATCTTTATTTCAAAATGTTTTCAATGTTGGGAAAAGCCGCCATTTTAAATTGTGTGGTTTTAAATTTTAGTGGTTTTCTCGTGCACAGATTTTTGGCAACTTTTAGTATGTCGTTCTGCAAACCCAACACTACAAAATAAAACCATAAAACGTTTCTTGAAATTTTTTTAGGGTCATATCCTATATTTCTTTGACTATTGTGTTTAATTCTGAAGTTAAGTTATTTCTTTCATATCAAACACAAACACACTCCAATAAAATTAAGTTACAGATCAAAACTTTTTTAAATTATACACAATAAAATCAACATACCTACAACAGGAAACGTATACAACACATCTGGTGTCTACAAAATTAAAAATGCTCTGCATAAAATCCCCCATAAACCCCCGTTCCCGTGGTCCGATTATGCTGGATCGCAAACTCGTTCGAATAAACAAAGGTGTACACATTTGTACCAAATTTCATCAAAATCAGATCATTTTTGCTTGATCTGGATGGTTTTTTGGCCTCTAGGGACCTCAAAATGAAAAATTAAATCGGTCCCGGGTCCAAGTTTTACCATGAGTACTACGGTAATAGCATTCCCTATATGGGAAATTCGCTAAAATTGAAGAAATGTTTGAGTATAAACAAGAATATCATGCAAGAATGCATCATGCCAAGAACTTTTTTGACACATATAGGAGGATAAGGTAAAAATGTATACATCTGCATTAATTTGCATTTTATTTCAGGTGTATCAGAAGTAGAAGAGGGCACAGTAGATGAAAATAGATTAGTTCTAGAAACAATAAGTATTTCAAGAATGTCATTTGCTAAAGATCCAGCAGTTACAAAGGTAAACATCTAATAAAAAGCTGTAAAATATAGAATAGTGCATTTAGATTAAAAACTGGACATAAAGCACAGCCACCTCTAATACAAGGCCTTCAAACAAGAAAAGAAAACTTAACATTTTGTCATAGCTATCTAGACTTATGGTTCATCAGGTATGCTAAAACAAAAATATGAATATTTAAAATTGAAAATAATTTGATTTAAACAATCCAAGATATTTTTTTATTTTACTCTTTCATTTGTAATTGGAAGTTTTACAAGACATTTTCACATTCATTGCAATTACTGCAATATGATAAATAGGCCTACAAGCAAACAGACATCGTGTTTGTATTTTAGTACAAAAATCACTATTATATGCCATTTAAATATCTTGAATTAATTCTATAGAGCAGTGAAAACAGCAAAACTCTCATTTAAGTTATAGCCTAGCGTGTGTGAAGACGGACCCAGAAGGGGTGTGATTGTGGCGTTGCCAGTTCAAACGTTGCGGCCTTGTTTTAGAGGTAGCTGTGCATAAAGTGAATAGTTCTAATAAAGATTAAAACTGGAAAATGTTTGATCATAGTACAAAAAAAAAATTGTATTATAATATGTACAACACATAGTATCCTATTCTTATATGAGCAATGTTTGCTTGTATGTATGTATACTTGCACAAAGATCTCAAAAACGGCTTTCCTTCAAATGTTTTAAATAATTTATTTCTGGCCTTAAATGCCAGCCTGGTTAAAACTGTCAACAAAAATCTAATTACGTAAAAAAATTTTTTTTTTTTATCAGAATTTATTTTACAATCTGTTCAAACTTCAAATATGAGAACAATAAGTAAAACATATATCAAACAATGTCAGGAAGCAAGCACCTGTTCATCAACAAGTCTTGCCAAAAATTTGATCAGTCATTTAAACATTTACAGAAATCTGTAGCTTAGGTCCAGCACATGCACAACACTTTTTAACCCGGTAATGCACTGACTATTGTCCAGCAGATTAACAGCAAGACTGTTTGGATGATATTCTAATTTTTCTTGATAATTTTTGCTAAGGTCTGTAATTTCTTCTTTCACTGATTTAATTTTGAAGTCATTCCTAATTGTAGTGTTGGATACGAACCAGGGTGCGCCAATAATTCTTCCCCTATAAAAAAGTAATTTCTGGCCATATATGGCCATATCAAAATTCCATATATGTTTTTATAAAGCCATATATGGTTTTTTATGACCGTATATGGACGCATATATGGCCAGATATGGTTGTATCCATATATGGTGGTGTCCATATATGGTCATATATGTAGTATATATATATGGAATTATTGGCCATATATGGCCATACATGTTTTTTATATATGAAACTATTGTCCATATATGGCCATACATGTTTTCTATATATGAAATTATTGCCCATATATGGCCATAAATATCCTCCATATATGGAATTAAATTACTCATATATGGAATAATAATTTTCCATTTTTGCTCATGCATAAATGAGTTTTTGACAATAACTGGAATTATTATAAGGAATTGTTGCCACATTTGGATTATGTAACTGGCCTCCCAAACACTTCTTATAATATTATAAATCTTAAAGTTTGTGAGTTTGTGTGTTTTCTTGTTGCTCTCGCAAGCACAAACTACTGAACTGATTGAGTTGAAATAGGGGCAGATAATATAGGCATTACTCCTTTAAAGTAGTTAGTAGTAAAGTAATTAAAGTATCCAGATTTGAACCCAGATGACAAAATCCTGTACATACATCTATTGCACAATTTTATTATAACGCAACAAAATCTTAAAACTGACGTATAATTTTAAAATTTAAGTGTAGTAGGCCTAAATAAGGAGAATATTATATTAATAATTAATTAATTGTACCTTTGCTATCAAACGGCTGCAAATATCAATGTCACGTACTTAGGCTATATTAATAATAACTTTCTTCAAATGACCTAAAATGTCTAAGAAAAATCTTGTTTTACGAGACCAAAAATACAGCTTCTATCATTCGTAATAGGTTTTGTTAAGTCGTCTAACATGAAGCGGTTGTGGTGTAGTGGCTAAAGGGGTGGACTTACATGCTGGAGTCCCAGGTTCGAATCCCAGTCGGATGCGTGTAAATTTTGTTTAGAATTTTTTGAATTTAAAATTTTTATTATAATTTTAATGTATAGTTTATACCATTTAATGTGCAAATATGTTAAATTGTAATTTTTTTATTTATTTATATATTTTTTATTGAAAAATTTCCATATATGGGGGATTCCATATATGATCATATCTGGTTATATTTGGTCCAAAACCAAATATAACCAGATAAAAAAAATTTAATATGGCCATATATAATCTTTTTCATAAGGGTTCTCAGTGCCTTAGCCTGAAATCGTTCAAGAATTTCGATGTTGGATTTGCTCGAGGTCCCCCAAAGTTGAATTCCGTATGTCCAAATTGGTTTGATCATAACTTTATACAGTAAAATTTTGTTAGCCAATGATAATTTTGAATTCGTACCTAGTAGCCAATTGAGTTTACGAAGTTTTAATTCCATTTGCTGTCTCTTGCACCAGATATGAGATTTCCAATTTAATTTTTTGTCAAGAGTTAGACCTAAATATTTTACACTGTCTGCCTCCGTTAAGGCTACATTATTAATGGTTACAGGAGGATTGTACCCTGTTCTTAGAGTAAAAACAATATGTTTGGACTTGTTTTCGTTGACTTTTATCCTCCACTTTTTAAGCCAATACTGGAGTTCAGTCAAGGCAGCTTGTAGATTTATGTAAGCGACTTGAGGGTCCACATGACTCGACAACAGTGCGGTGTCATCAGCAAACGTAGCAACTGTGACGTTGGGGACCATAGGGATGTCTGCTGTATATATCAAATATAGCAAGGGACCAAGAACACTCCCCTGAGGTACTCCAGACTTTATCGGCTTCAGATCAGATAACGAATTTTCGAATTTTATTTGAAAAGACGTAAAAAAAATTAAATTAAAAACTTTTAACATTGTCTTGCCAAGTACGGTAACCATGTTGGTTGAACAAAATAACAAAGAAAAAAAGTAAACAAAAGACTTGTAACATTTGTTTATAACAAGCCATCCACAGTATACCAGCAAATTACAAAATACAGTATCAAGGGGATAACATCAGTTGTTACTATTGAGCAAAGATTACACTGAAGATTACTCGATACAGACTTCTAATCAAATAATGATTATTTAACTTAGCTCTCTCCCCCCATAACACATAATCCTAGGAGTACTGAGGCAATTTATTGTTAGCAAACTATGGTTTAGCAGTGAAATAAATATTTTAGAAGATCATATTTGTTTTATTAACCGACTTCCCCACTACCAACAAAAGGAGGAGGTTCTCAATTTGTTTGTGGCGATGTTTTTTTTTTCTATGTATGTTCACCAATTTCTCTGTGATTCTTTTACCGATCAGTGTGGTTCCACCACCAAAATAACCAGGAGAGTTTTTATTTGGTACCTTATATATTATGTTTAAGTATAATATTTGTTTCGGTGAAAAATTCTGAAAATCTTAAATATTCAACATTTATTTTGTTTACATTTGTGCAGATTGTTTACATTTGTGCAGAGAAGGCAATAAATAATAATAACATTCCTACAGCTGTTAGTTGAAACCATTTAAATGAAGCTACAGACAATTCTTCATGAAACAGTTACTTCATATTGATCAATAAACTATTTCTTGCTATGGAGCCTAAATGAATTACATTGAAAAAAATGTATTTTGTTTTGGTTACTATAAAAAATGTATTTTAACGTTTGACCTGATTTGTGTATACAGTAATTCTGTTTTTAGTATTGAATATTCTGACTTACAAAAACATATATGTTTCAGTGAATAGCTGTATGATATTGACAAATAAAGGTGTATTGTGAAAACCAAAGCAATTGCAAAACAGGTCTAAATATAAATTAAATGCAATTATTCCTTGCACGACCTAAGAAGTGTGACAATGCATAATCGTCAATTGTCTTAAAAGTGTTAAATATTTTAATTACTAAACATGCATTTGCAGATGTGGAATGTTTATTAATATTCTCTACCCAGTTACTATAACATATCAACATATCAATACTATTATGCCTGCTTCGGAAAGTCCTAGAGGAAGATGATTTGCAATTTCGACTAGGCTATATCTTGAGCAAACAAAACCCCCTACATGACTTACACCACCTTTAGCTGAACCAATCTTTCATATAATATTTTCCAAAGGTACTATACATGTTAACGACCAATTTTCCACTTTTGAGAGATTTTTTAGTGCTGGTGACTGAGGAATAACTTTCATATTGTTCCAAAAGGCTTGAGACGTTACTGTATTTCTTTTTATAATGTAGAAGTAAGTAAAAATCATGAAATAATTTATTTTTGTAAAAAAATACAACCGACTTCAAACGCTCTAAAAAGAATGAAATAATTTCAATAAAGTAAACTTTTGTATTAGTCTAGCTCACGTATTTCAAGTCGGCGCGGCTCAAACTACAAATATGAGTATGACTGAAATTAAATATTGTGTGTGTATTTTGAAAATCAATAAATTGTAGCTGGATAACATAAATATATAAAAAACATAGGTACTGAACTGTTTTGTTTATATATTAAAGGAAATATTTTCTTGTAATTTATGTTTACTTCAGAATAAATGCATTACCAAAATAACACACACAAATGTTCTATATGAATAGGAAAATAATTTAGTTTGATATTATGATAGGGAAAAGAAGCTAGTTTAGTATTAAAACGTTACTTTTCCAAGTTAGAATCATCTAAATGCGTTATAATCTTTTTAAAGATACTCGTTAATACCACTATAATGCCGATCTCTGATTACGGTAATGAAATAACACTTAACGCATAACTATGAAAAAGACATGGAGATTAACACCTTTAGTTATAGATAGTCACCTGCAATATGGACACCCTCTTTCAATTTTGTATCAAAAATCATCATAGAGCCGCGCCGACTTAAAATACGTGAGCTAGACTAATACAAAAGTTTACTTTATTGAAATTATTTCATTCTTTTTAGAGCGTTTGAAGTCGGTTGTATTTTTTTACAAAAATAAATTATGTAAATTAGAATTTACAAAAATTTTCAATCAGCTGTTTTTAATTTACCAACTGTCAAAACGACGTTTATGATAAGCTATTATAAACGAATAATTTTAGCATTGACTTTTAAGTAGTGTAAATCATTTTAATGTATTGTTATAAAACATAGAGCAAGTGTTGACGAGCGTTTCGTGTTGGTGACGTTTGAGTGCACTGGCGTCAATTCAATGTTTCACTCTTTATTTAAGAGTTACAATGTTTATGCACTCTGTTGTATAGTTAACATAATATGGACAGCTATATTAAGTTGAATTAGTATTTAATTTAATTTTATTACTCTAATCTTTATAGGCTAGTAAACAATATCTCAAAAACGGCTCTGACGATTTCCTTCAAATGTTGTAAATAATTTATTTCAGGCTAAAAAAACAAGTTTCATGCAGTTAAAACTGCCAAGAAAAATCTAATCACTTAAAAAATGAACACATTTCATGAAGATAATACCCCCGCCGCAGCAAACCTGCAGACTAAGCGAATTTCAACTTGTTTGATTACATTTTTACTCAAATATTTCCATAAATAAGACATACTAGGTGAACCCGTGCGAATTCGCACGAATAATAAATTAGGATGTTACTATAGCAACGTCGTTAGAAGTTGCGTCGTTGTATCGACGCTGGTCTTGACCTGGATCGTTGGCTATATGCATTTTAAGTTCTTTTTGCTGTTCAGTAGTAGTAGTTTGCAGGACGGAGCTGAAAACTTGCGCGTATGGATTAATATAAACCAAATTTTGAGTCAAAATGTGCATGAGTACAGTGCTGCAAGAGCCATTAGCTTTGTTTAGCATTCTTTCTTCAACAGCGGTTTCGACGTCGTAGATATGAATTTGGGCCTATGTAGGCTTGTACGCATAGCAACGCTGGTGGCGCTGCCTACGGATTGACAGGCAAAGCTCTCTCAAAACACTTAATGCTTTTTACCATGCCGTTGGCATTCTGGGTTATAGTAGTACGTTTTCTGTGCCGTTAGGCATACAACAGCGCTTCAATATACTAAATTATTTCTTTTTTTAAGCTCTACAAAACGGTTTAGAAAGAAATTGCAATAATCGTTATAGGCTAGTAAACAATATCTCAAAAACGGCTCTGACGATTTCCTTCAAATGTTGCAAATAATTTATTTCAGGCCAAAAAAAAACAAGTTTCATGTAAAAAAAAAATGAACTTAATAAAATAAATAAATACAACAGCTGATTATAAACAAACCTTAAACCAAAGTGGTTTTCATTTTATGACTGGAGGACGCTCTATGCTGAGGTAATGTTTAACAAATTACAAATAGACTGTAGTGTAACATTTGCTTTGCATAAATGGTATTGACAAAACACTGCTCTCAGAGTATGAATATGCTAATGACTTACTCTGAGCAAAGCTCGGTCCCCAGGTACTATTTACATGTCAGTACAAAATGCAATCAATGTTTCAGTTAAAAGTTTAAAACAATAACAAATATTTAAATCAAGATTGAAAATTAATTCCTCATATATTTCACTACTTTTAATCATACCCATATTATTTTTATTAATATATATATATTTAATTCCAACAGATACGGAGGGAGTATATTCTAAATGGAGACGTTCTCACATCAACCCTCTCAATGGCGACAACAAGCACACCATTGACAAAGCATCTCAGCATAACATACAATAGAAAGTTGTAGTATAGGTTGGCCTACTGTTGTCATGGCGAGGATAATAGACATGTAGACTCAGTTTGTTCTGTTCAGTTTATCTGGGTTATCAAAAGTAGTTGAAGTTGATTAAGTATCATTTTAACTGGAAACTTTAAAGTAAAATTATTTACAATTTAGGGAATATAAATTCTGTTTCTGCAAATTTATAAACAATAAATTATGACTTTGGGGCAGCAGTAAGAATTTAGATTTTGGCTGTCAAATTCATATATGACCCAGTTTTAAAAACAAATTTATTTATAATGTTCCCTGAATATAGTTGATGAAGTTTTTAGATTTGTAGTTTTATTATCTTTAGGAGGCTATCATAATAGTGGAACAATTCTATTTAACTGTGATGATATAGTTACCCAACCTCCCTCCCTCAGATCCCATAATCTAAGTTAAAAACATAGGTTCAATAATACTACATCTCAGTATGCAGTATGGCACTCTTGGCTGAAGACTCTGCTGAAAATTTAACAAGGAAGAAATTTAGAACAATCTTTTTAGTAAACGAAAAGTTAAATCCATCCAATAGTCGATATTAGATTTTGATTTAGCAAATCGATATCTACCCCTGGCGTAGCGCTAGGAAAATGGGCTTACCAAACTAACTTTTTTTTTAATGCATTTAAATATTCAAGGTGTAAAAAACAAAATTGATGATTTAAACTTAATTCTAGAAAAAATAAGTAAAAATACCCAAATAATATGTTTAAATGAGCACTGGTTGACAGAGGAAAATATATGCATGTTAAACAAAGTTAAAGGTTACTATATGGTAGACTATTATATTAGAAAATCTGCCAAAAGAGGAGGAACAGCAATTTTATTAAAAGAAGGCTCAGGAATAAATTGTAAAGTACGAGATGATCTAAAAGTTTTAAATGCAGATTTCTATTTTGAGTGCTCAGTAGTGGAAATATTAAATTTTTCAGAGCCTGTTATAATTATATCCCTTTACAGGGTGCCATATAAGTTTACCCTAGGAACCTTTCTTAAAAAGCTTCAGTCTATGTTTAGAATGTTTAAATCTAGGAAAAAGGTCAATGTATTCTTTGCAACAGACTGTAATGTTAACGTTTTAGATAGTGTAGAGTCTAAGGAATTTTATAATGTAATAAACTTCAATGGGTTCAAAATAAATATCAAAGAGGTGACTAGACCCATTAGCAATACTTGCATCGATAATATTATAACAAATAAAAAACTCACTTTGACAAATATTTTGGTAGAGGACATAGGCCTTTCTGATCATAGTGCCATTTGGGCTGAAATACCCAATTTTAAATGTAAAGTAGAAAATAAAAAGTATACCCTAAAGAGAAGATTTACACCAGAGGCTATTCACGAATTTAAAGAGTCAATAAAGCAAACAGATTGGAAGGTAGAATCAAACAAGTCAGCAAATGAAAATTATGATAACTTTTTAAGAGAGTTCATGTTAAATATGAATGAGTCCTTTCCTGTAAAACCTTTGAGGCAAGAAAATGGTAAAGTAATAAAATGGATAACAGAAGGTATAAAAATTTCAAGTAAGAAAAAAAGACTTCTCCACAGTGAAATAAAGATTAATAAAAGTGCCAAGTTGCAAAATTACTACAAGATATATAGACGAATATTTAGAAAAGTTGTAAGGGCAGCTAAACGTAAGGCAAATGATGACTTTATTAAAAGATCTAAATGTAAGAGTAGAGCATCATGGAGGGTAATAAAGAATGAGTTGGGAATGATACAAAAGAATAATAATGACATAAAAGAAATATTGATTGACGGAAAAACTATCAACAACCCCATAGTTATTCCTAATTACTTTAACAACCATTACCTAAAAATAAAACAACAACTGAAAGTTCAAAGTTTGCCACATAGAGCAATTGAGTGCTGTAGTAAGGTAGCCATCCCAGATAATACAGAATTTACATTTAAAGAAGTAAAAGAGATAGATGTATTAAAGATTATTAAGTCAATATCGAACAAGAGATCAACAGGTTGGGATGAAATTCCAGTTAGATTAATTAAGGACTGTAAAGAGTACATAGCTGCACCACTTACAAAAATAATAAATCAATCATTAAAAACTGGTGAATTTCCAACAAACCTTAAAACTTCAATCGTAAGGCCAATTTTTAAGAAAGGAAATAGAAATTTAATTGAAAACTATCGCCCTGTCTCACTATTACCTGTGTTTTCTAAAATAATTGAAAAGGTGGTACACACGCAACTACAAGAATATTTAGAATCAAATAGATTAATTACAAACAGTCAGCATGGTTTTAGGAAGTCACACTCAACAAACTCAGCACTAATATCACTAACAGATGATATATATAAGGCCATGGATGGATCACAGTCGACTCTTGCAGTTTGCTGTGATCTATCAAAGGCTTTTGACTGTGTAGACCATGCAGTCCTTTTAAAAAAATTAACTAAATATGGGATCAGAGGGTCGAGTTGGAAGTGGTTTGAATCATACCTAACAGGAAGAAGGCAAAAAATATCAATAATAATAGAAAACAATAAATATGAATCTGAGTATGACACAGTTGTAACAGGAGTGCCACAAGGCTCAATTTTAGGCCCAGTTTTATTTACTACACCAACGACCTCCCAGAGAATGTAAATGCCAAAATAATCATGTTTGCTGATGACACTACAGCACTCATAAAAGGAAAGCATTTATTAGATATAAAGGAGAACGCAGAGGCTACGATACAAGATCTAGAGCATTGGTTTGTTATTAATGGCCTTCATTTAAATACTAGTAAGACGAGTTTAGTTCATTTTTGAAACTTACAGAGTAGGGAAGGAGAGTTGAAGCTAAGAATTAGCGGTAATGATGTGAAATGCCAGATTTCAGTAAAGTTATTAGGTGTTGTGTGTGACCAGAACTTAAATTGGCGGGAACATACGACACAGCTATGCAAGAAGTTAAATAGTATATGTCACAACATGAGCTGTCTAACTCATTGCACAAGTATTGAAACTAAAGGTCCACCCTGAAGACCTGGTTAAAAACAAAAAAATTTTTTTCTATAGAATGTTATTTAAATAGGGACGTTAAGTTAGATTAATAATTTAGTAAGACATTTTTGTTATTTCTTATATCCTGTATATGACTTTATGTCCTGTCAAAAAATGATGTAATGACATGTATTAAATAAATAAATAAATAAAATGACACTCTACTACGGATATTTTTATTCATTAATAAAATATGGGATAGTGTTATGGGGTAATACTGAATTTTCTAAAGAAGTACTAACAGCACAAAAGAAAATCTTGAGAATAATGACTTTAACAGGGCCAGGTTCTACATGCAAAAATCTATTTAGAAATTTGAAAATCCTTACAGTACCAAGTATTTATATTTATGAAACTTTAAACCATGTAAAGAACAACCTAACATGGTACTCAACTGAGAAAACCCAACACCATTACAACACAAGAAATAAAAATTTACTGGTTTATCCACACCACTCTACCACTGCTCTAGAAAAAGGTATTTATTACATGGGAATGAAACTTTTTAACAAATTACCTAACAACATGAAAGAAGCGTCTCAGAAAGATTTTTCAGAGAGTGTTAAAAGATTATTGATCAGAAAGGCCTACTACAAAGTTCAAGATTTCTTAAATGATACTGAAATATAATCTAGTGGTTCTAGTCATTTAGTATTAGTTTTGTTGTTTTATATTATCTACTTTTATATGTTTATCACATTCAAACACTTACGGGAATTATTTGTTTGTGTCAAAATCGTATATTATTGTTCATATATTTATTCTCTGTTAATTTTTTTGTTGCCATTTTGTTACCCGTAGATTTACAAATTTTATACCTTGTTATGTTTGAATATGTTCATGTTGTATTGTAGCACTAAATTTAAGACTGTGATCAACATCTTAGGAACCAATTTATGTTTTAGAATAATTAAGGACTGAGAATCAATTTTTAAGAGATCAAGACGAAGCACCTGTACATGTGATTTTCACAAATTTGTATGTTATGTGCAAATAAATTATCATTATCATTAAACTAAACCTGCCAGCTTTTCTACCCTCTGCCCACACACTAATCACTAATCTCTTTTACTACTGTGCATCTTGTTCTTGATGTTTTTTACTGTTTAACACCTCTCTGTCTTGTTGTTTAGAAGCATTTGTCAATATCTTCCAAAGAATTTTATTGGTGTAGAATAATGGAAACCATTAATTAAATCATGCATACACTAACATCTTTATTAACAGTACAAATTATATAAAAAAAAAAAAAAAAAAAACTGAAACATGCTGATCCTTAGACAATTGTAACTTTTTCTAAATAAATGCAGATGGTCATAAAAATCTATGCTTATACCACAAATCTGCTATGGATTTCCCTTTTGATTTACAGTCTTTGAACCCTTTAAGTGTCTTGGATGTTTGGTACCACACATAATCAGCCATTTTGTCACTTGCCATTGACTCATCACTAATGCTGAGGGCTGTCATGTTCTGTGTTAGTTTGTCAAGGTCAGCAACACACGAGCATGGTTTTGATGTTGATGGTGTAAATGAGAAACACACTTGTTGGGAGCGATCAGATAATTTGTAATGGTCTTTAGGAAGAAGCCATTCTGAACTAACTGTCTCTGTGTTTTTCTTTTTTAGAAAAACAAACATATTTGTCAAACCAACTTTTTTCTGGAAGTTTGCATTGACCTCATCTGAAATTATAATCCCCCTGAAAAAAAAACAAAACAAAAAGACTTAGGTAAAAACCCAATAAATTTGTGATCAGGAGGCAAAAAACAACAGAAATGAAACTAACTATATTGAAGGATTAACACTTTTACCTACGACCGTTTTTTAAAGTAGTCATCAGTTCAGTTCTTAGAATTGAAAAGTGTTACTTAACAGCTGTTTAATTTCATAACAGCATAGTTTCATTTTATAACAGCATAGTTTTTCTCATAAGAACACGGTAACGGACCAATTAGGTTCAAGGATTGAGAAAAAAGAAGTAAAATTGTAATGCTTTGAACGTCAACTAATCAGCTGATCAGTTGACAATTTTAACTGTTAATCCGACTTGTTCCTGTTGATACTTGTATTCGTAACCTAAGTTGGTGGAAGTTAAAGAAAGGTAGATTAAACTGATTAAAAATGTCAGTTAATGAAAGTGAAGTTGACGAGATGAAAAGAGAGCACAAACTGTTTGTGCTAATCTTTTGCCACCAAAGTCGAAACAAAGGTATGCAATTACATACCACCAATTAATTAAATGGACGAAACAAAATAAGGTTAAATTGATAAATGAAAATGTGCTTCTGGTTTATTTTTAAAACCTCTTAACCACTCATTGTGGACCACATATTCGATGCTGAGATCTAACTGTAAATTAACTGTTTCACTATATTATTTAGTTGTCAAAAAAATATGCAATATTTTCCTAATTGTATCTGATACTGTACAGTATTTATGGTAAGAATGCTGCTAGCAGAACGTATTCCCTGAAAAAAGTAACTTATTATTTAACAAAGCCAAAAAGAAATCACAACGTGTGCAACGATAGTTTGAGTTTGTTTAGCAAACATGCGCATATTAAAAATTGTGTATTGGTTAAAAACACGTAATTACATGAAATCAACTGATTATACAATAAGTCATTACATCACTTTCAGTGGCAATGACAATAAACGAAAACATAACCTCTCTTAGAAGTTATGAGTAGTGACTGTTAGGAATTAAAAACCACATGGTTAGTAATTAAAAAACGGTCGTAGGTAAAGTAGTGTACGCAACTCGCGTTAATAGTCTTTACGACACTTAAATTAACACACTTAAATAGACTTAAATTGACACTTAAATACTCGTGCCTTAAATTTTCTACTCGTGTCGTAAAGACTAACTTAACGCAATCGTTGCGTAAACTACTATAAATTAACCGATATAACACTTGATATTGCAATAATTCTTTTTTTCTCAAAGGTACACTTGCTCGGCACACTTCAACGGAGAGATATTAATACCTCCACCGCAGCAAACCTGCAGACTAAGCGAATTTCTATTTGCTTGATTTGATTTACACTAAAATGTCTCCTTAAAAATATCACGTTTATTCCTTACTTAAATATAATTAGTTTAACGAGTACTTAGGTTTGCTGCAATAGGGAGGGTAAAAAGTGTTTTTTCTTTCAAATGTTAATTATTTAGTAAGATATGAATGTATTTTCCAAATTCGATCAAAATATGTTCATTATCAAGCAAACTACAACAGTTGACTTATTCTCCATAAGAATAACATGCAAATTTTAAATTTACGAGGGTCGTTCCAAAAGTAAGTTACACTTTTCTATAAAATCCGTGCGGTATGAGGGTGAAGTCTGGGAGTAGCAGGGAATTAGCGTCTGGGTGTTGTGGCAGCACTGCAACGTGCCCAAGGCTGGGCGTGGCTCGCTACGCCAGTCAGGCGCTAGCTGTCATGGAGTTACCACTGGTTCCTGCCGCCGATTGTGAAATGCGTGCTGTCATTAATTTTTTGACCGCTAAAAATAAAAATGCAACTGAGATTCATCGAGAACTTTGTAGTGTGTACGGTGATGACGGTATGTCTAGGCCTATGGGTTGCGAGCATTGCCGAAGGGTCATTGACACTGATCATATGCCTTACACCTTACACTTGATGACATCCTTACTGAACTGCCTCCAAATGTTGGAATAAGCTGTACTTCACTTCATCGAATAATTACTGAAGATCTAAGCCTCTCAAAAGTCAGCGCAAGATGGGTTCCACGCTTGCTCACAGAACAACACAAGGAGCAGAGAGTTGATGCAGCATTGCAATTTCAGCAATTTTTCGATGATGAAGGGGATGGTTTATTTGACCGAATAGTGACCGGAGATGAAACATGGATTCATCATTGGACTCCCGAAACAAAAAAACAGAGCATGGTGTGGAAAGCAAAAGATGAGGCTGCACCAAAAAAAGCAAAAGTCGTGCAATCTGCAGGAAAAGTTATGGCAACCGTCTTTTGGGATTCAAAGGGTGTGTTACTGGTTGACTACCTGCCTCATGGAACCACGATTACCACAGAACGTTATTGTGAGGTGTTAAAAAACCTACGAAGGGCAAAGCTTTATTCCGTACTTGTGGGCTTTGTCCTTTATGTACTGACGGAAGGATAGGCATCCGCGGAACAAGACCATCGCTTCATCAAGGGGTAAGCATTTCCCAGGACTGTAAACTTTGTTACAGTTTTATAAAACACGATTTAGCACCTGATCAATTTTATTATATTGAATTTTAGCCTCCTGATCGCATTTAAATACTATAAATTGGTGTAAAATACCTGCATTTATGCGATCTTGTGTTGTAGCTGAGTTGCTACCGGTTTCAACTCACATTGGAGTCATCTTCAGGCAGTTATAAGATGTCTTCTCGCTTCATTCGAAGGTCGTCAAAGGATAATAAATAAATAAACAAAACACAAACACGTACACGGACATAAAAAAGAACATTTAAAGCTGTAAAATACTGAAAACGGTAGGCCTACGGGACACGACACGACGTGATCGGGCAAAAGTTATGTCTAGACTGCCGGTCAGGATCAACGTGGTCAGTGATGACGTCGTGCCTGGATTTCCCGATCAGCTGATAGTTCCATTCACAACTGTCCCTAGCTCCATTATCTTAATAGCAGTGTCGTATATGTAATTCGATTGGAATGAAATCTTGTCGTTAATGATGTTTTGGCTGTCAAATTTAACAGCCCTATAGATTTCGAATTCTTCCAATGTGTTTCTATTGAATCGGTCGTTCGATAGGTGTAGGATTTTCATATTACTGTCAATACTATTGTAATTGTGGTTGAGAGAAACCAGGTGTTCTGCGAAGGTCGAAGTTTGTGCAGTTGTAGTCCTTTTCGGTAGATGTTCTTTAAAACGTTTACTAAAAGATCGGGATGTCTGGCCTATGTAATATTTTGGACAATCACTACAATTGATTTGGTACACACCAGTTTTTTCGAAGGTTGCTGTAGGTGTCTGGGGCGGTTTTTTTAGCAAAGATCCAAGTTTATTGTCAGTTTTGAATGAGACTGTGATACTATTGTTATCCATTATGTTTTTAAATTTGGTGCTGAGGAATGAACCGTACTTCGCAGAGACATAGGTTTTCTTTTCTTTTGTTCCAGTTTTTTAATTTATTTTATTATTTTATTATTATTTATTATTATTTATTTAATATTATTATTTAATTATTAATTATTATTAATTTAATTAATTATAATAATTATTATTAATTTATTTATTAATTTATTTAATTTAATTATTTAATTATTAATTTAATATTATTATTTATTATTATTTTTTTTATTATTTTATTTATTTTCAGAGAGTCGTGAACCAAACAAAAATAACATTTGAAGATGATGAAATCGCTTTGCTAAATAAAGGATTGAATTTCAATTTACCAAACAATAAAAATTCAAACCTTGTTCACGAACTGTTAGACATTGAATCGTCCATAAAAAGTATAAAATCCGATGAAGTAAGGGATTCCACTCGTATTTTAATAGGAAACAGAGCAAAAAACATTCTTAGAATTAAATCAAACACACGGAAACAGCATTTAAAATTCAAACCTATGCAACACACCTTGACAAACATAAAGAACAAACTTGCCGAACATAACGCCCTAATAACTAAAGCCGATAAAGGCAACTCCATTGTAATAATGTATCACGACAGCTATGTGAACAAAGTAAAAGATTTTATGAGTAAAACCAATACAATAGAACTCTTAGATAAGGACCCTACAGCCAAAAATTCTAAGGAAATAAACAAAGCCATCTCTATTAGTAAACATCTGTTAACAGCTAACGAAATATTGAACCTGAAGGTAACTAACCCCCAAGCACCTATTCTTAGAGGACTTCCGAAAATACATAAGCCTGATATACCCATCAGACCTCTGGTCAATTTTATACCATCACCTGCATATAAGATAGCAAAAAAACTGGACAAAATAATCAGGAGAGAAATTATATTAGAAAATAGCCACAGCATCAAAAATAGTTTGGAATTAGTAAACAAAATTAAGACACAACCAGTAAAAAGTAATATGAAGCTTGCATCCTTTGACATTGTCAACTTATATACCAATGTACCAATCCAGGAAACAATAGAAATATTGGAACGAAATCTACATAAGAATTCTAATCTACCCCTTGAAGCAATCAACGAGCTCATAGCACTCATTAGAATCATACTAAAACAGAATTATTTTGAATTTG